ATGTATACATATATATATAGTTTTTATTTTTATTTTTTTTTATTTAATTTTGAAAGAGAGAGAGAGACAGAGTGCAAGTGGAGGAGGGCAGAGAGAGAGGGAAATACAGAATCTGAAGTAGGCTCCAGGCTCTGAGCTGTCAGCACAGAGCCTGATGCGGGGCTTGAATTCACGAACCGTGAAATCATGACCTGAGCCGAAGTCAGACGCTTAGCTGACTGAGCTACCCAGGCACCCCTGAAGTCATTTTAGACCAGAAGTATGAGTAACATTCTTGTGAACTCCTGACTCTTCATGAAGATCTTTGCACTGAATGCTCATTTGAGCAGTTGTGCTTTTCTCCTGTTGTTTATCTGCTTACTCTTCTCTGTTTGCCACAGACCATTTAAAATACCCAGTCCTGCAGTGCTGGGGGACTCAGTCAGTTAAGCGTCCAACTCTTGATCTCGGCTCAGGTCACGATCTCACAGTTCATGAGTTCGAGCCCCACGTTGGGCTCTGTGCTGGATAGTATGGAACCTGCTTGGGATTCTGTTTCTCCTTCTTTGTACCCCTCCCCCACTGTGCGTGTTCTCTCTCTCTCAAAATAAATAAACTTAAAAAATTAAAATTTTTTTTGAATGTTTATTTTTGAGAGACAGAGCATGAGTGGGGTAGGGGCAGAGAGGGAGGGAGACACAGAATCTGAAGCAGGCTCCAGGCTCTGAGCTGTCAGCACAGAACCCAGTGTGGGGCTCCAGCTCACAAACCGCGAGATCATGACCTGAGCTGAAGTTGGGTGCTTAACCGACTGAGCCACCCAGGTGCCCTCCAAAAATGTTTTTAAAATACACAGTCCCTTTCGTGAACCTTAATCTCTATACCTTTCACTTTGTGGTAAGAGTGGAAGTCCTAGTTTAGATGAGATCTGAGACCTCTCACTCACCTTTTGTTATTGTACTTTAGTGCTACACAGAGCATCCTCTGGCCAGGTTGTAAACCTCAGCTTCCAGGTCTGTAATCATTGAAGCAGCATCCTGTTCTCTGAGGGTGGCCTGAGGTTACTTAAAGATGTAACGTGTGAGTCCATGGTATCTGTTAACTTACAAATCGGGGTCCAGCTGTTCTAAGTTGCATGCTAGTGTAATGAAAGTAGGAGATCGTGTAAGTTTTTATCAAGAATCTAAAATGCTATATGTTACATATATGGTGTCACATGTAAATTTAGAGTTAATACCCAAATCACATTCTTTATCCATCTTTTTGATACAGAAAATCTTGGCAATGGAAGAAGCTTTGAATTGGGTGAAATACACAGGTGATGTAACAATTCTACCTAAATTAGGAGCGGTTGACAATTGTTGGCCTATGTTAAGTATTTTCTTCACTGAATGTAAGTATACATGCATTAAATTGTTTCTTGACTCAGTGTTTTTTTTTTTTTATAAATTTTTTTTTTTTTTTTAACGTTTATTTATTTTTGGGACAGAGAGAGACAGAGCATGAACGGGGGAGGGGCAGAGAGAGAGGGAGACACAGAATCAGAAACAGGCTCCAGGCTCTGAGCCATCAGCCCAGAGCCCGACGCGGGGCTCGAACTCCCGGACCGCGAGATCGTGACCTGGCTGAAGTCGGACGCTTAACCGACTGCGCCACCCAGGCGCCCCTCTTGACTCAGTTTTTAAAGGAATTATTTGGGAAATGGAATGTGTGGTTATTTATCTTAGGATTTTTTTTAATGTTTGTTTATTTTTAAGAGAGAGAGAGAAACACAGAGCACAAGCAGGGGAGGGGCAGAGAGAGAGGGAGACACAGAATCCAAAGCAGACTCCAGGGTCAGCTGTCAGCACAGAGCCCAACATGGAGCTTGAACTCATGAACCGCGAGATAATGACCTGAGCCACGTTAGGTCCTCAACCGACTGAGCCACCCAGGCATCCCTATCTTAGGATTTAAAAAAATGTTTTTCTCTTGTGAATAAGAGAAAAGCCTGAATAAGAGAACTTTAAGCTTATAGTTTTATTTTTCTGTACTTCCTGTCTTAATGTTTTTTATGACATCATACTTCTAAAAATCCTACCTAATGAATGTCATGTTATTATATATAATACCCAGAAAAAGAGATCACAACTGGCACTTTATGTATTCTCATTCAAAAGAGAAATAAGGGGGCACTTGGGTGGCTCAGTCGGTTAAGCATCTGACTTCGGTTCAGGTCATGATCTCACGGTTCCTGAGTTCAAGCCCCACATGGGGCTCTGTGCTGACAGCTCAGAACCTGGAGCCTGCTTCGAATTCTGTGTCTCCCTCTCTCTCTGCCTCTCCCTTGCTCATGCTCTGTCTCTCTCTCTCTCTCAAAAATAAGGATAAAAAAGAGAAATAAGAGCTGAGATTGTAATTTTCATTTCCCTGATGACTGTTAATCTTTTGTATGATGAAACTGCTTTATATATTTATTTACTTTGTGAAATATATTTCTCTAAATAATTTGAATGTTAGCAGTTTTTTTGTAGTATATCTTTTTTTTTAATTAAAAAGATTTTTTTAATGTTTATTTTTGAGAGAGAGAGAGAGTGTGCACGCGTGCACGTGAGCGGGGGTGGGGTAGTGAGAGAGGGAGATGCAGAATCTGAAGCAGGCTCCAGGCTCTGAGCTGTCAGCACAGAGCCCGGTACGGGGCTGGAACTCCCGAACTGCAAGGTCCTGACCTGAGCTGAAGTTGGGCACTTACTGACTGAGCCACCCAGGTGCCCCTAGCTATAGGGATCTTGAAGCAGAAAATATTTGGCTCCTTAGTTGATGATGACTGGTAATTTGCCATCCCTACTGAGAAGAGGTCAAGTCTTATGCTGTTTAATGTAAGTGGTAGAGAGAAATTAAGCTTAAACATGAAGGCTGGGTTGATAGAGGTGGTTCTCCTCATTGTTCTGGAGGCCTTTAATTATAGGGTAGATTTTATGGTAAAAGTGGAGGAGCAGTATCACATCGGGCACCCATGTGGACTCGGTTCCAACACTCTTTCTCTGTTCTCTTCTTTACAATAGCTGTCTTATGGTAGCTGCTGTTGTCCTTATTTTAGAAGTAAGCAAACTAAGGCTTTGGGAGGTTAAGTGATATTTCTGCAATCTAGTGAGTAGTACAGCCTAGGTGAGAGGTCAGGATTCCCTAATTTCAAAGCCTAGGTTTTTATCCTGTAATCTTACTTTATCCCTTATTAATTACTTTATTTGGTGACCTTTCAGAATTCTTTCTTAAATCTTAGATTTTAGATACTTTTTTCACCTTGGAAATGTATGTGTTTGGTAGAGGCTTAACTATGATTTTGTTGGGATAAAATTACTATCCGTTAAAAAATATTTTTTATAGAATAGCTAAAAATACAGAAAATGAAGTCTTGGTATACTTTTAATATAAGTTTTGGTTATTACCTACTGTGTTTTAATTAGTTTATTAAATTTTTAAAAGAATGGTATTTCAAACAACATTTTAACATTTCATTCATGAGAGTCAGAATGTTAAATTAAGATAATTAAATTATTTGTTACATTAAATACATTTTAGAGAGTTTTCCATGTTTTTGTTGTTAGACATTTTTATTGAATATTGTGCCAGGTACACCATACATGCTCAGTAATGTTTGTGGAACTGACTTGAGTAATTATGAGACCTGTTTGGAATATCATGACCGAACATTTATTTAAACTACAATTAGAACTAATGTAATAATAAGTGCTTTTTTTTAATGCTAGATATAAAACAGATGAGACTCACAGCAAGCAATGAATCTAATAATGTGTTCTAAAACATTTTCAGTTGTGTATTTTCAGTTGTATTATTTGGTACATGTAAAAGATTACAAGAAACGTGTTATTTAGAAGGTATAATAATTAATTGACTTTATGGATTGACTTACATAACCTAAGTTTTAGAACATTAACAGTACCAATTTGTTTTCTCACTCTCTCCTGAAAATAAAATTTAGACAAGTATCACATAACTAAAGTCATAACAGAAAACTGCAATTTGCTTGAAGAATTTAAAACTCAAAATTGTGTGGAGTGTATAGAGGTGAGAATAAATATTTACTTGTAAGTATATTTTAAGATTTATCTGTTAGAACTTTTATTAACATTCAAAGGAAGTTCAAAACAACTGTCAGCACACAACGAACTGTAAAATTCATAAACAGGTTTGAGGGAAATTTTTAATAAATTTTAATTGGAATATTTTTTTGGAACAGGCAGACAACATCTTGATCAGAAATTTCTAATGTTACACATATATTTTTAAAATATATATTTATATATTATTAAATTAAATTCACATAATGTTGAATAACATAAATATCAAATTGTACATATTTTAAGAGTTAATTATAAACTGAAATTTGATTTTTTTTAAATTGAAAGGCTTTTACTTAGTTGAGGAAGTATGATTTTCTCTGGTATAGCTTTATTAAGATGTAATTCACATGCCATAGAATTTAATCATAGGAAATACAATTTTTTTTAATTTAAAGATTTTATTTTTAAGTAATCTCTGCACCCAGTGTGGGGCTCAAACTTAAACCCTGAAATCAAGAGTCACATGCTGCACCAACTGAGCCAGCTGGGTGCTCAAGTAAATAAGATTCAACTAAATTTTTAAAGAAGGATTTAGGAAAATATTTAATGTTCTATTTAATTCACTAATTAAAGCCATTTATGTGATCCAGTTTATTTTACTCTGTTTATTCTGAAACTGTAAGTATTTGAAGTGAAAAGTTTCAGTTGCATCTGTAGCATCTTTGATTTCACATTCTTACTAATTTTGCTGCTTCATTTTTTGGCAATTAATCTATTCAACATTGCTATATGTTACTGATTTATATATTGGGGGTTTTTTTGGCACTTTTAGGTTATTGAATAATACCACATTTTCTTTTTTTTAAGTTTATTTATTTTGAGAGAGAAAGAGTGCGTGCACGCTAGCACACAAGCAGGGGAGGGGCAGAGAGAGGGAGAAAGAGAATTGCAAGCAGGCTCTGTACTGTCAGCACAGAGCCTTACATGGAGCTTGAACTCACGGAATTGTGAGTGAGATCATGACTTGAGCTGAAATCAAGAGTTGGATACTCAACTGACTGAGCCGCCCAGGTGCCCCTAAATAATATCACATTTTCTAACTCTTGCATCTGCTTTTTTCCCTGCTGTGTGGCAGGCTCAGTAGGTATATTTAAAAGTGGGCCTGCCAAATACTATACACAAGGGGATTAATTATTAGTAGTTATTCATAATGTGGTTTTACTTTCTAATATTCCTTTAACAAAGTTAGCATTGAATTGTCAGAGACTGGTTTCTTTAAATATATATACCAACATATTGGGTATTGCATTCCCCTTTTCCACATAAATAATATCCCAGGTTATTTCTGTTGTCAATGACAAAAACCTAGAACTATTTTTCCTAGATACTGGGTTCTTGATTGCCTTTGCATTTAATTTATGAGTCTTTTTTCACCTTGGTTTCTCAGCAAGGAGAACTAATGAAAATGAAAGGAAATGAAGAGTTTTCAAAAGAAAGATTTGATATAGCTATTATCTATTACACCAGAGCCATTGAATATAGGTAAGAGCAAAATAGAACGAGATCCTTTTTGTGTGGCAGATCAAGTTAGAATGCTAGTCAGGAGAAATAAAAACAAGGCAAGGAATTAGAGAGTAATTTCAGTTTGCCAAGTGGAATAGATGTTCTCACCCTTCGGCACCAGAACTATTAGGGATGGCCTGGGTCGATGAACTTAACCGAGCAGTAGAATTCAAGCAAGTCAGACAGGATTGTGAATATTACTTCTACCCTACCCCATTTCTCTCAAGCTTTCCAGTATAGGGTCATCATTTTTTTTTTCTTGTTCTCATTTTGCCTTTAGCTGACATCTTCCAGATTGTTAACTGATCAAAAAGGGCTAGTTACTAATACTTAAGATTCCCATTAGAAATTCCCATTTGGGAAGTTTTGCTTCCTAAGAGGGAACTTTTAAAGGATAATAGTTGGGATTGTTGAGAGAAGGTGTGTATTTTTTCTACCTCATCTTCTGTTTGCTCAGCTGCTAGAATTTTGTAGCATTCCTGCATGTGTAACTCATATTTGGTTCCTACTGACATATTAGCTGGGCCACCTAGTATTGTAGCAGCCTTTGGAGGATGTGTTGCAGACAGCTACTCTCTTTCGTGCCTTGCCCATCTCCATGGGGAATGAGTGACTCAAGGTAGCACACCACACCTGGAAGGCTGCTGCTCTGCTCTGAGGAAAGAAACAGATAAAATTAGAAAGGATAAAATGTGAAATGAAGCTGTTTAAATTATTGTTGTAGTTTAAAGACTTTCAGAGTTCTTTGTCAAAGTGGTATAGTCCTGACTTACGTGAGTATAATTCTGTCCTTTGTACCTATGCCACACTTGTGGTTTGCTAACTTTTTACTATGCCTTATTTTATCTTCACAGCATCCCTATGAGCTAGGCAGAAATAGTAGAACATTTTGAATACAGGGAAATATAGATTGATTTGAATAAAGTTAACTATGGTAGGAAGTGAAGGAACCAGGACTTAGCCAATTAGGTCTCCTAATCCTATATTCCTTCTGCTCTGCCACATAGATGTAAAGGTTTTGAGAAGTTTTTCATGCCTTATGTTTTCTGTGTGCTTTTTATTTGTTTTGTATGTAATGTACTTTCCTGACTAAACATTATTTCTTTTAAAGACCTGAAAATCACCTTCTTTATGGTAACCGAGCTCTTTGTTTTCTTCGCACTGGACAGTTTAGGTAAGTTGGTTAGAGTACCCCAGTCACTGAGCTATTATGCTAAACTACCCATTTTTGAGAAATATTTCTGTTTTGCAGGTAGACAAGAAAATCCTTCAGTAGTTTTGGCAGAAATAGTGAAATGGTTAAAGGGGCTCTATAGGCTTTATATAGAACAACAATGACAGCAGCAGCTGTTGATTGAATGGATAACATGTATGCTTTTTTCAGTACTTGTACATGCGTTTCTTAATTCTCATAACACACTTAATAGGTAATGTTATTCTCCACATTGAAATTTGGGGGGGCTCATACTATTAGTAAGTAGTGATGTCAGGATTTGAACACAGATCTTATCTGATGGTATCAAAGTTTGTGTTTATAATATCTATGTTACTCCCCCCTTTTTTTTTAAGTTTATTTATTTTGAGAGAGAAAGGACGAGTGGGAGAGGGGCAGAGAGAGAGAGAGAGAATCCCAGGTGTTCCTGTGTTACCTCCTTTTGCTCCTTTAATTGATCTTTCTAATTCTGGAAGAATTTTTGCTGTTTCTTTCCTATATCTTGATATAAAAAATTAAGTAAATCTCACTTATAAGTGGAAGAAAGAAAAGATATTTAATGGTTTAGCTATGAGACTCGAATTATGATTTATGTAATTCAGTCTTAGTTTCTTATGTTGCATTGAGATTTTATGTATTAGTTGAGAAAGATTGTTGACACTGTGCCATGATTTTGTTGTTCCTCAATTAAAAATTTTTAGGATAATATCACAAGCATTAGTAGTGAACAGTATATGCTATTACGTTTAGTTATATCCTGCCATACTGTAAGATGGGCTTAGAGTGGCTGCAGGAATATATGCACTCAGTAGAAGAATATTACAAGCACAGCAAGACAAACTAAAAAGCCAGTTTAGAGCTGGGGATCCTCAGAGTAAAGCTGCATAGGCATAAAGTCCTGTAAAGTTATTAGTTATAATTCATATTTGTGTTTGACCTTTCTATTGCCAAAATAAAAGGAGAAAACCTGACAAGTTACACGAGATTTTTCACTGTCCATGAAGAAGGAGGACAGAAGTTGTTCGGGTGAAACAGTTTTCCTGATGTTTAGTTCTGGAAGAAATTTCTTAGATGGCTTACAAGTAACTTGAATTGAGTGATGGACAAGAAAGAACCTCCACAACTTTTCTGTGAAAGCAGAAAACTCTCTGAAAGTGCAGTTTTGGGTTTCACAATTTTTTTGTGGCGTTTTCTGATGAAAGCAGAGAGTTTGATACCAGTGATTTTTTAGTTAAAGTGCTTACATTGGGATGCGGGAGGGTGGGAGTGGGGAAGAGAGTATGTTCCAAGTATGTAGCTTTTAAAAATAACATGTGTTTTTCTTTTATTATAAACAGAACACATTCTCATGGTAGAAAATTTGGAAAATACGAGAGTTTAAAAAGAAGAAAATAAAAATCACCAGTAATCCAACCACCTCGGAGAATACCGCTGTATTAACGTTATGCAGCTTTTAGATGGCTTAAGCCGTGGATAAACCGAGGCTATCTAGACTAGAGGAATGGATGGGCTTGACACAGTCTTCCATCAATACCACTATCCTCAACTGGTTCTGACAAGAAATGAGCTGCAAATGTCCTTAGGTTATTGCGTCTGGCTAGGTCCAGAATTGCAGATATCCTATGCTGTTTGATGGTGAATCTGTGTGCTTTCAAGATGAATAGGTTGGCAACTTGGCTAGCCTCTTGTGAAAATCGAAATGTTGATTGGGCAAAAGGTCGTCCGCTCTGCGTAGGGGAGCTCCGAGAGCTGAGAGGCCAGCCAGGGGGTTTCTGCCCTCTTTCACGAGTGTTGAATGCTAGACATTCAAGGAGGATCCTCTTAAAACTGTACTGCAAACGAGGTGCATCAAAGTAGAAGTACAGAAGCCAGGTAGCCTGGTGAGGTAAAGGTTAAAAGCAGGGTTGTGTGTCCATCCTTGTACTGACTTCCTGATGGTCTAGCTTGTGGTTCGACACCATCGAAGTTTTCACTAGAGGCAGGTCAGCAGCATTTCCTTCTTAGGTGATCACCAATATGTATTGGATGCCAATGTAATGTCAGAAATATTGTGCCACACGGGTTTGTTGGTGTTTCCCACCTTCTCACACATTGTTTACATGACTTGCTCAGTAACCTAGGGATGTTTTCTGAGTCCACAGTACGTCTCATTCCTGATTAAGTGAATAGATAGTGTAGATAGTGTGACTTCAGGAAGGAACACGTTGCCAGTGATTCACTCGTGTCATTGACAGCAGAAGGACCCATGCCCTTTAGCTGAGTTACCGTGGTTGAGATGTTTTGAAGGTCTCACATCTGAGGTTTGGTAGATCTGTCATGGGAATCTGGCTGAGCAGCTGTGGGACACCTGAGGGTAAAGCCTCCAACCACCACCACCCACCCACCCCCCGCCCCCGGCACTGTTCTGAGCACTTTACACACACAAGCTCAACAACCCTCCACGACCCCGTGAGGTGGTTGCTCCTGACTCTTTTTAGATGAGGAAACAGGAATGGGGAGGTCAAGTAAAGTGTTCTCAGATACTAGGTGGGTGTGATGGAGCCAGAATTTAAACCCAGACAGCCTGGATGCAGGGTCTCTACTACTAATCCCCATGGACGGGTGATGGTAGAATCAAAGGGTAATGTGAAAGCTGAAAAGAAAATTAAAAATAAATGCTTCAAATAGTCAATAAACATTAATATCCTTATAGGACATGCTGATTACAAACCGTGAGTCTTTTTTTCATGTCCATCAGATTGGCAAAAATTTTTAAAGCTTCATAATACCAAGTGTTTGAGAGGATGTGGAACAAAGGAAACTTGCGTACTCCGCCGGAGAAAATATAAATTGATGCAATCACTTTGGACAGCAATTTGGCAAGGTGAAGATGTGCATACTCTGCAGCCCACTTCTAGGCTCATATCCTCCAAACTCAGATGTGTCCCCAAGAAGATACGTGCAAGCCTTCACGATAGCATTGTTTGTAAGAGTAAAGGAATGGAAACAACTCAAATGTCCATCAGTGGGGGAATGGATAAACAAATGATGGTATATTCGTACAATGGAATCTTATGTAGCAGTTAAAATGATGACAATGCTGAGTGAAAAAGCAAGTTGCAGAATGATTTGTATGGTATGATGCCATTTATATAATGTTCAAAATATGCAAAATGACTTACATATCCACAATTAATACATAGTGTGTATTAAAACTTTTAAAAATGCATGGGCATGTTAAACACTAGGGGAGTGGCTGTCTCCTGGGGAGGGAAGGAGGGAAAGGGATCGGAGATAAGAAAGATGATACACAGTGGATGTCAACTGTAACAAAGTTCTGCAAAAAGATCTGAAGTGAATGTGGCAAAATGTTAAGATCTTGCTAAGCTGGTACATGGGTGTTGACTATATTAATGTTATTCTTTGTACTTTTATGTATACTTGAAATATGTGATAAAAAGGGATACAGTGAAATTGAAAATGCACATGATAAGATGAAAAAAGAAAAAAGCAGCGTTCCCTAAACATCAAGGATAAAATAAGTGAAAAGTAATCTTGAAAGAAGAGAAATAATAAGTATTTTAAGACCAAAGGTGGGGAACCGGATGTGAGGTGTATGGGGAAAATTCAGAAATGGTCAAAGTGGTGGTGGTGTGGTTTTAATGCCAGATAGTCACAGTTTGTAAATCAGGTCACCTTTGGGTGAGTGTAGGTGAGGCCAAGAGCCCACCTAAACTCTTCCCATTCATCAGACACGTGCACCTCCAGGTCTGCAGATGTCGCACTTGGGGAATCCTTGGAACGGGATTGGGGTGAGGGGGGTAGTGTGTGTGGAAATGCTCTATCTCCTGCTACAGCATCTGCTGAATACTTCAGGCTCAGGACTGTGCAGTGTACTCCAAAATGCCTGGTGTGACTGAGATGTCCTTTTATTCATGTCTTCCAGAAGTTTACTTTTCAAATACGATTTGGCAGTTACAGAGCATTATAGAGTGATAGTTTTTTTTTTTAATGTTTTTATTTATTTTTGAGAGAGAGAGAGAGCATGAGCAGGGGAGGGGCAGGGAGAGAGGGAGACACAATCTGAAGTAGGCTCCGGGCTCTGAGCTGTCAGCACAGAGCCCAATGCGGGGCTTGAACTCACAGACTGTGAGATCATGACCTGAGCTGAAGTCGGATGCTTAACCAACTGAGCCACCCAGGTGCCCCTAGAGTGGTAGT